AATTTTATGATTAATAAAAACAAAACATAAAAACACGGAAAGAGAGGGGAAATTATGTTAATCTGCTAACCTCTAGTTCTGTATCAAGTGTATTTTTGCTGCCCAGCTTCACACTGTGGGGGAAAGGAATGGGTCTGTTTGTTTCTCTATGTATCATTTACATAGCTAATAAAACCAAGAACTTCTGTGTTCACATGGCTTCACAGCAGTTCACTTCCAAGAGAGCCACCAGTCCACTGTGTTTGTCCAAAGACAAACACAGAATGAAAGCAAGCCAAAAGAACAGAATTCCCCGCAGGGAAAGAGAAAGTACCATAGTGGTTGGGGCTGGGACCAGGACACAGAGATGTTAGAGGTATGGGCTGAGAGTATTCATTGTGTAGTGTCAGTGGTTTTGGGGATGCAAATGGGCATTGAAAAGATATTAATTCCCATTAAACTAAAAAAAAAAATAGGAAATTACTTTAAAAATGAAATGATAGAAGTATGCTATTATTTTACAATTCCACTTTTGGGTGTGCAACACAAAGAAGTGAAATCAGAGCTGCTCAGTGGTGATGGTGCATGCCTTTAATCCCAGCATTTAGGAGGCAAAGGCAGGTGGATATTTGAGTTCAAGACCAGCCTGGTCTACAAAGTGAGTTCCAGGACAGCCAAGGCTGTTACACAGAGAAACCCTCTCCTGCAAAACCAGAAACAAATCAAATCAAATCAAAACAAAACAAGTGAAACCAGAATAATGAAAAGGCAGCTGCAGGGCTGGAGAGATGGCTTGGTGACTAAGGTCACTGTCTGATCTTTCAGAGGACCTGGATCCAATTTCCAGCATCCACATGGCATCTTACAACTGTCTGTAACATCAATTTCAGAGGATTAGATATCTTCTTCTGGCCTCTGATGGCATCAGGCATGCATGTTGTACACAGAGACACATGCAGGCAAACACCAGTACACATTAATATGAATAAATAAAAATTAAACACAGAAGAGGTAGTTGTTCTATGTTTGTTGAATAGTCAAAATATAGAAACTACTTAAATGTCCGTCAGCAAAATAAACCAGGCACACCAAGGTGTAGCCTGCATGATTGCATTCAACAATGGAACCTAAAGGAGTACTCTCTTAAAGGTAGAGAGTAGAATAAAGTCTAGGGAGGGTGCAGAAGGAGGAAGGGGTTGGTTAATATCTTATAGGACTGCAGGAATAATGATAAATGGTCCTGTTAGCCAGCGGGTATAATTCTGGTGTTTTACTGCATAGTAGAGTGACTGTGGTTAACAATATTGTAGTGACTACTTCAAGATAGCTATAAGAAAAACATTTGAATCTTCCAGACACTATTTTGGTTTGAATGCTGAATATTCTTACAGGATGGTTACACTGTGTGCACATATACTAAAACATTATGCTCTCACCCACAGATATGTTCAGATTTATAACAGGAATAAAGAGAAGGTAGGCTACAATATTTGGTGCTATGGCCAAAGAAAATTCAGGTTGAGACTGATTAAAAAAAAAAAATGACTGGACCAGAGTTGCTGGGAAGACCACTGATTACTACCTGTTTGTTGTTGTTATTCTTAAGCAAGAAAATAAAAGAGAAGGACAGCATGTAAAATAACAAAATACAATATCAAAGGAATTATGTTGAGAAAGTATCACATTGGCATGTAATTTTAAATATGAAAAAGTTCAAAGTTAACATTTTAGTGTTAAAAATATCTAATTACAACTTTGCTGATTTAAGATTTGGGAACAGTGTCAAGTACAATCTTTTTATGAAGACGCAAAAATTAAGAGATTTTAGAAATCTAAAATTACCTTAGTATCTAAAATTTGGAGGATAATTATTCAACAAATATTTGCTGAGTCCCATCTTCATGCTGAACATTGCTGTGGACACTGGGGAGGAAAGGATGAGCTATGCCAAGCTCGTGGATGAAGCTCGCTTTCCAGTGGGAAGACGGACAATAAACTAATCAGCAAATCAACAACTATATAGAATTTTAGATGTTTCTATGTGTTCTGGAATAAATAATGAAGTCTAAGGAGACCAAGAATATTAGGAATAGAAGTACTGCTAATTGATCATGAAGGCTGCTATGTTCTATAATGTTGAGAAGAACTGCATGAAAACATGATGTTTTACCACAGAGCTGAAGGAACCTAGAGTCTGGATGTTATCATTTCGATGAACTCTGTTCAGGGCATACAAGTTAGTTTATGCAAGCATCCTCAGGTGGATGCATGCTTTGACTGTTCGATAAACATCAAGTTTTGTGCGGCTGGAACTAAGTGAATGAAAAAGGAAGGAAAGGTGCTGAGACCTTCCAGGAAGGAGAAGCAGAGAGCAAATGACATTCTTGGCCTTTGTAAAAGGATGGGAAGACATTGGCCAATTCTGAGTGAAAAAAGAAAAAAAAAAGAAGAAGAATGTTATTTGACCCCGGTTTTGTAGGTGGCTTTCTGTCCTTTGAATCTATCCTGCCTTCTTCCTAAGAACCTTTTAATTTGTTTGCCTCATAAATTGTAATGGGCTATACAACTTTATTAACTATTGTGGGATTCTTCCAGATTTTAGACACATTTAATCAATTGTAGAATTTTTATTGTATTGTCCCTCCTTCCCTCCCTCCCCCCCTCTTTTTTTCTTTTCCCCCTCCTTCCCTCCCTCCTCCCTACTTTCTTTCTTTCCTTCCTTCTTCCTTCCCTCCCTCCCCCTTCCTCCCTCCTTCCCTCCTCCTCCCTCCTTCCCTCCTTTCTTTCTTTCTTTCCTTCTGGCTCAGGTGTGATTAGGCCAAAGGAGCACCCCAGTAGCATGCCATATCCCTACCTCTGTGTCTTAATTCAGGAAAAGTGAAAAACAAAAACAAAAACAAAAACAAAAAAACAGGCATTTAGAAAGAGGAAGATGGGATTCTAGAATCTGAACGAAATCAGCAACTTCAGAAAATCTCCGGTTTTTCCCTTGCCCACGCTGGGGAGTATAAAGTTCAGACCTCGGATGCAAAAAGAACCCCTCACTAAAAACAAATGTCTGTAAGAAGAGCCCACTAAGCCAGGCAGTGGTGGCGCACGCCTTTAATCCCAGCACTCGGGAGGCAGAGCCAGGCGGATCTCTGTGAGTTCGAGGCCAGCCTGGGCTACCAAGTGAGTTCCAGGAGAGGTGCAAAGCTACACAGAGAAACCCTGTCTCGAAAAACCAAAAAAAAAAAAAAAAAAAAAAAAAAAAAAAAAAAAAGAAGAGCCCACTGTGTGCCTGTCCAAAATAGAAATCATTACAGATAACTGAGTGAAGACAATGGTACAAGCATCTGAAAATACATATTTTTGAATAAAAGGAAAAATTTGAAAAGGAGGGTAATGAACAAAAATGCTACCATGCTTCATAACAATGGCATATTTATTTATTTGAAAAAGCTACTGCCCTTCCAGACAAGTAGGTCTACCTCTGCCTTAGATATTGTTTCTGTTTGTTGGCGTATGACTTTCTTTAGGTCTACACTGTAGCCACTATTTAGTTCCTAGTGGCATGTACACAACCAGGGCTGTCAAACACAGCCTCTAAGGGGAAGTTCAAAGAGACTCTGGGGAGGGGGGAATCAAGAACAAATAAGCAAAATTCATGCTCAGGATGGTGGGGGGCCTGCAGCACATCATCCTGTTCCTTTGTTTCTGCTTCAGACTCTGCCTGAGATGGTTTCCTTTAGAGACAAAAGCCACCATCCTTTCTAAACAAAGCACCTCAAATCTGAAGAGTAGCAGGCATCAAGCCCTTAACTTAGAATAGTTGTCATTTCTCATTGCTTGTTATGTAAAATTCATCTTTGGTGGCTTGAGATTCGCTTTCTGTTTGCTATATGCTATTAATATTGAAAAGTTAGATTGAAAAGATTTTTTAATAATCATGTCCGCCGGGCGGTGGTGGCGCACGCCTTTAATCCCAGCACTCGGGAGGCAGAGCCAGGCGGATCTCTGTGAGTTCGAGGCCAGCCTGGGCTACCAAGTGAGTCCCAGGAAAGGCGCAAAGCTACACAGAGAAACCCTGTCTCGAAAAAAAAACCAAAAAAAAAAAAAAAAAAAAAAAAAAAAATAATCATGTCCAATAAAGAAATGCAAATCTCAGCCTTAGCTCTGGATAGAGGTTTATAGCGAAGCACCTTAGTGGCTTCCTAGGGTAGGACTGAAATTCAGGCAGGCGTGGAGCCTCAGAGTCACGGCGCTTCTCCAGATATGCTACTGCCCACCAACAGGGGGCTTCTTGGGCCACTGTTTGTTTTAGGACAAGGATAAAGAAATAATGTCATGAGAAGAAAATCCCAGTCAGGCTTTGGAATGCTGCACATTGGCTGTCACATGCATTTCCAAGTGACAGTGAGCTTTTTAAATGCAGCTTGGCTAACTCTGCCGTGTTAAAAATAAACACTTTGGCTCACCTAACTTTTATTTTTTAGTAGGATTCTCCAGTGAGGAATACCACATACCTGGTGACTTTTGCAGTTAATAATGTGAACCCAGGAAAGCCCCTAAAAGGAAATCTTAACTCTAAGGCTTCCCAGTTCTAAGCACTGTCCATAAAGCCTACTCGAAATAGCCCGGTGCCACCGTTTCAGTGATGATGGTCCCCAACCCACAGATTGTTATTGTCTCCTTCCGGTCACCTAAATTCTTCCCACTTGCTGTCATGCCTCCAGATAACAGACACGTGGAGATGAAATGTGATTTTAAACGAACATTTACTCGCCTCTCTATTTTATTCTTGATTTTTCTTGCTTTTTTTTTTTTTTTTTTGGCCAGGCCAGTGATGAAAGATTACTCTCTGGAAGATTTAGCCAGTGAAACGCATAGGATAAAAACCTGAACCCCGCAGTCAGACACAGAAAGAGCAAAGGAGAAAAATGGGGGAAAATATCCCATCGGGCTGCAGCGTTTGAGTGTATGTAGGAATGATGTCATTTGTTTTCACAAAACCCAGTTTAAATTTGTTCCTGCCTTTCCAGAACTGCAGCGCTGAGCATCTGTGGAGACTTCTGCAGACTATATTTCAGGCTTTCGAGAGTGCGCGCTGCATCAAAATCCAACCAATAGCAGGGGGGAGCCTTGCCCTCCCTAGCCTCCATTTGTTTCCCCTACCTGAAGCAAGGGTGTGCTGCAGCTGCGAGGTGACCGCCCAGTGCCCTCCAGGCCCCTCCTGCTCTGCTCCAACTGCAAAAGCGTGAAGGCAAGCTTCAAATGGTTTAAAGGAGAACCTTGCCAAAATCAAGGCTGACTTCTGGCCACCCTCACATGTTCATTTCACTGGCAGGTGACCTCCAAGGGAAGGCGTGTCTGTAAAGGATGATTTGGTTTGGGAGGTTTTTAATTTAAACCCAGCCGTTTATTCTGCTGCCCCTGTGCAACGCGGGAACCGTCCTAAGAAGTAAGAAGGAACCATACAGAGATCCTGGGCTGCTGGACCCTCAGTGGCAGAAAGAGAGCCTCTGAATTCTGTAGCTGTAATTATCGTTCCCAAAGTAAACCCATTTCCGTGTGTATATTTGTAGAGGATGATTGGGAAATATGCACTGGAGAAAGATCGCTAGTTCAATCACAAAAAATCAATGGGTTAGATACAGAGTGGAAAAGAAAGCGCTGAGTGGCACATCACCTTTCTGTCCCTCAGTCCTTTCCCTCCAGAAAGAAATACAGCTATTGACAATAGATTCAGTGTGGGCTCTTTTGTTGGAGCAGCAGAAACTGAACTCTGGCTAGTTTCTTACTGAAAGCCTGTGAGGACATTTACAGAATAAAAGGAAGGCTGAAGAAACCCACTTACAGAGGACAGGCCAGCCTGTGTCGGGGTCTCTATAGCAGACCCAGCAGCTAGCACCATCAGTTGCCACTGCAAGTTGGATGATTGGTAGGTGTTTCTCTTATCATCCTCAAATGGCCTGAGTCAGCAGGGTGTCCCTTTGTCAATGGGCACCTGCCTATAAGGTTTGGAAAAAGTCGAGTCCTCAATTTGCTGATTCACAGAGTCACCTGGAGGCTTCTAAAAGAACGGGGAGAATGGAAGGTCTTTCTCCTCCATTGACACCTTTACTGCTGTGGATCGGACTGCTATAATCTTTCCTGGGTTGATGGTTATTCATTCCCTTTCATTAGTGTTCCTGTGGCTGGAACCCAGGGTCTCATGGATGCCAGGGAAGCACTCTACCTCTGAGCTACATCCCCAACCCTCATCTCCTTTCAAAATGCATCTTTGAGAGACATGAAGACAGGACTTGAACTTGCAAACTTCCTGCCTCAGCCTCCTGAGTGGTGGGGATTATAGGCAAATGCCACCATACCAGGCTAACTCGGATTTGCAACCTTGTTTGTCATGGCTGCCTTTTTGGGAAGGTCAAACGATGCTTGAAACAGAAGTGGTCCTGAATTATACCAGGACAAGAGGCAAGGGCTGTGGCAGTCCTTGCCAACCAAGGTGTGTGTGGCTCTGCTTTCCCTTTTCATAATTGTGTTTTCTCAGACTTGATCAATTTAAGGAAAGCCAAATGCTCCTTAAGGAATGAAAAAGGCCACCTTCTTGTCTATGTCCCCAACATCTCTTTTGTGCTTGGCATGGTACATAACTTATGGATCATTACAGTGCAATTATTAAACTCATGTGATCCTCTCTTATCCCTGTTTTTCAATGTATCTGAGGGGTATGCCATCCCCCGTACTCACAGGGGGGGCATAGCTAACTCCTTTTTCTCTTTGCATCATAGAAATGGATAAAGAACTAAATGATCCCAAACATTTCTACTTATGGAAAATACTGTTGCTTAATGAAGAAATGACATTTTGGCGAACAGAAAGGCAAAAATATTTATGTATTTTAAAAGATTGGTATCCGTAGAAAGATCTTTAAACAACAACACTTAAAGCCAGGGTGGCCTTTTCGGAATACCTATTTTATGAAATATAGGTGGGCACTACAATATATCATTACTAGCTCATTTCATGTGTTCTTGGATTTTGTCTACCTACATGTCTCTAGCTGGTCTTTCAGAGAGACACAACCTTCAGGTTTCAAGAACCACTGAGTTGCACTGTCACCTTTCAAGCCAGTGATTCTCAAACCTTCCTAGCGTTGGGACCCTTTAATATAGTTCCTCATGTTGTGATAACCTCCAATCATAAAATTATTTTGTTGCTACTTCATAACTGTAATTTTGCTACTTTTATGAATAATAATATAAATATCTGATATGAGGATATCTGATATGTGACTCCTCCGGGGGTTGCAGCCCACAGGTCAAGAACCATTGTTAAAGCTAACTGGTAAAAGAGATCTGCCTTGGATTGCATTTTCTGGGGCCCGCTCTGTCCTCAGGATTAGTCACAAGGATTTGTAATGGGTCCAGTTCAGTGTCAGGGTGTGCTTTCAGATGGTCACTCCAACAATGTCTTCCTTCAAGAGCACTGTGTACTGGAATTCCTGAACTTCCCTGCACAGTTGCTGCTAAGAGTGAAGATCAAAGAAGCTTCTTTGATCAAGCAGAGTCACAAGCATATGCCTCTCAGACACATTTGAAGACCAATGTAAGAGACTAATGAGTTGTGCTTACTCTAGGCTCATCCCTCTTTTGTTTCCTGCTGGGCACTGTGGGCATCGGGAACCCACGTCTAATGAGCCATAGATGGATGCACTGCAGCTCTGAGATAAAGGTACAAGTGCAAACCAAGGCCCCTAGGACAAATAACACCTGCATCAGAAAAGCAGGTCATCCCATAATGTGGGATGTTGTCACGGTTCCCTACCTTCTCCGCACTATTTTCCTTTGGTGGAAACGCTTTTCCTATCAGTCATTCTAAAGCACCGTCCCCTCATCCCCTTCATCCAAGGACATTGTGTCCCTCCTTGTCATGTGATGTTGGTTGTCCCATTCAGAACTCATGAAGTGGAAAGCAAAGCATAGGATGTTACTGAGATACAGTTCTATCTTTTAAGGTTCTACAAGGACCAATCATTCTATTAAAGCAATGATATGGAAAATTGTGGTCATAAAAGGAAAAAGAGTTGTATTTACATTATGCTGACTAATATTTTTAATATAAACAGGATATATTTTAGAATAGAAACTACTTGGCATTCAGATTATTAACTCAAGAGGAAAAAAATGCATGAACTGTGGCATATTGACAGGAGACTAATTTCCTGTAAGGGGGAGAGTAGCCTGGAATGATCTAGAAAGCATGGGAGGGAAATGCCCAGCTCGACTGTAATGCAAAGCGAAAGAACATATGTGAAGCGGACAGCGATGTGTTCTTGACTAACTCAGCAGAGCAACTCTCAAGCAGGACAGTGAAATTTTAGTGACACACATGTGTTAGTGCCAAGTGAACATTAGCGTCTACAAAACACACTTTTTTTCTTGTTAGAAATGACCCAATACGTAGACATTTTGTGTTGTTTGTTGTGACAGCAGCTCTTTCCACATACTCTGAGTGTAGATGCACTTCTCTGAGCCCAAGGGTCGGAGTTAAGGTGAAACCTGAGTGTAATCCTGATATTTCCATGAGCAGAGTTGGAAATTCATAGTTCAGTATCCTTCTCTTGCCCATCGATCCTTTCCTTAGTGCCAGGAGGCCACTAAGGCATTGCTTTCTCAGGCCTGGATTATCTGAGTGATTGTTTTCTAGTGTCCATGTTTCCAGGATAGACACTGGCCTGACTGATATCAATAACACTTTAAAATCCTCACATCTGCAGAGTGACGTGAAAGGGAAAGAAAAAGCTGCACCTCCATTGGTTGTGTTTGTTATATAGTTCACATTTTAAAAATACAATACAAAATTTAAAAGTTGCTCAGATATTCCATCATATACACATCATCAATTAGAGATGGATTATTTACTTATATTTAACTTTTTTTCACTTGATTTCATACATTTGCTAGGCCACCAAGGTTCACAAAAGACACAACTTATTTTCAAATTGTTTTTAACTTAATTCAAAACTGAAAAGAAATAGTCTCTCTTTCTCAGGCTTAAACTCTGTAAGGATGAGATCTATGTGCTGTCTATTTATAATAAATATTGAAACTTTACTCCATTGCTTACAGTGCAGTGGGATTCACTCAATGATATCAGCCACATTCAGTGCCAGCCCTTCAAAAGGAATCTCTTCCATCTCCCTAGAAAGATCTCTATAGGAAAACTTGTTTGCTAAATGACTGAAGCTCCCTTACCAAATAAAACACCACAGTGTTTGTTGCTCTTTTTCTCTGAAGTGATGACAAATTGCCGAGGAGTGAAAGCCTTCAGACTAATAACAGAGGAAAATTGACTCTAAGATCCCATCATTTTGTTTACCAGCTGTCTTTACAATTCTATAATAACCCAGCCCACGTTTTAAAAAATGTTCAGAGATAGTAAAATAGACCAGAAACAAACGATCTCTCTGCTGGAATTAGTTTACGCATGGGAACAGGCTGGAAAGAAAAATATGATTCAGAAACTTACCTAGCTCTCAGGCATGAGACCCGGTGACCACATACTCGGGGCTGAAGCACAACTCAGGAGCATTACATCATCGTGACAAACTTTCATTGGCTGCAGAAACCCCAAGGATAACACAGGCTTGTAAGGTGCTGTGTGAAAGCCCCCGTTGGCTTTCTTTATCAAGGTTACAGCTAAAATACTGAGAGCTAGACTTTACCTTCCTTAAGCCTGTCCTGGCCAAACTGACAAGACATTGTTAACCATTTCTGAACATGTTTATCTTCACTTTAGTTATTAGTTTTATATTTAACTCTAACCTATGAGGACATTTTTTTTCTTGTTAAAATTTTCCTTTAAAAATGGTTTTGACATTAGCTTGTTTTTAAGGTTTGTGACATCATTCTGTATGAATGGCAGAGGCCCCTAATTAGTCTTGAGGCCATCTTTATTATTTTAAATACCTTATTTAATTAATGAATCCATTTCCTCTAATTGACTTAGTTTGTCCTTATTTTTCTCTAAGAGGAGGGACAGGTACCCCCCCACACATTTATTTATAGAAATCTGAATGGAAGTAGTACACGCAGTCCTCACTTCCGAATCATTCATTTTCACTGTCAGATTTTTTTTCCCCTTGTATTGAACTGTAGAAGTTATTTATTTCCTGCTATTAAAATGGTGATTTAAAAACTGAACCATGTGTATAATTTGAAAGGAGGAGGGAATGGATGGGGTATGGGGTGCCTCTGCTATCCATCCTCACTCTGCATTCATCCTCACTGCCTCTGGGGGAGGTATTTACTAAAGGAGAAACTATTACCACAAAAGGTGGCACCATTGGACTATCTGATCTATCATTTAGGGAGCAACGGAAAATACTATGACATCACTAGTTACTGAAGATCTGCCTACCTCCAATTGTTCCTCTTTGTTTCTGTGTCTGCCTCCATCATACACTCAGGGAAACAGAGAAGGGATAGACTTCAGACAGGAGGAAACTTACGTATTTTTTTAGAGTTTATGTTTGAAGAAGTAAGAGTTGCTTAACCAAAGAGAAAAAAACATTCCACAAGGAGAAAGAAAATAGAATTCAAAGCAAGAGACACGGTGTGGGTAGAAGAAGCAGTGATACTGAAAAAACAGAAGATAATTTTCTATCTATGAAAGGGAAGAGGGATGTAGAAGCTAAGGCCAGATCCACAGATTTGGAGGGCTTCTTAGCCAGAAGACGAGACATGAACTTTAACTGCAAAGCTACTCTAGGTTGTCCCCGGCTCACAGTCAGATTTGTGACTGTCTTAGTCTAGCCTAGCCTGGAATGGACGGGAGTGGGTGGGCCCAGGAACATGAGTTAGCTTATGTGCCAGTGAGAGTCGTGGCAGGAAGCAGATGGCACTGTTCAAACACTGAACTAAACAGAGGCATCTGAAGGGGCCATGCCCATGGGTGGGGGCAGGAGAAGAAAACGAACAAAGGATGGCAAAACAGCCAGCAAGCCACAAAAGTAAAAAGCTGTTATTGCCTAGGCTCATGACCAGGAACTCACCTCAGTGTGAAGTCACAGAAGAGGGGATGTGGATGTTGCAATAAATAACATTTAGCTTCTTGAGGCAAAGAGAATCATAGGGAAATGCAGGAAAGTAGATGAGACAGACTCACAGATACTGAGGTGTGTGTGTGTGTGTGTGTGTGTGTGTGTGTGTGTGTGTGTGTGTGTGGAGAGAGAGAGAGAGAGAGAGAGAGAGAGAGAGAGAGAGAGAGAGAGAGAGAGAGAGAGAGAGAGAGAGAGAAAGAAACAACTTAGTGGAGTGAGTTTTTTCTTCCACCTTTCCATAGGTTCTGGGGATCAAACTCATGTCCTTCTCATAGCAAGCATTACCCACTGAGCCATCTTGTCAGCCTATTATTATTATTATTTTTTAATCAGGCAACTGAATACATCATTGTTCCTTCATTACTAAAACAGCTTTGTTCCCATGTGCTGGATTCAGTATAAGGAACGTTCCATTTGAAGCTTTGGGCATAGAGAGACAGAAAAGTCAGGCATGGCTGTGTCTAGAGCCCAGAAGAAAATCAGAATCCAAGATGGAAGCCATTACCTTCGTTGTTGAGGTCGTACATGTGCATGAAGTGATGTAGTTTGGGAGAGCAGTGAGAAGAAACGGTGATACAGACGAGGCAGCTGGAGCTGAGGCCTGTGCACAAAAGAGAAACAATGGAGAGGAGGGAAAGGAAGTGCAGCGAAGAATAGTACAGAATAAGGTGAACACGCTTCCAAAGGGTGTGACCCAGTACACCCAAAACGGGCATCTATTAGCTTCTGTAGAGTAGATGTAATTGGCAGTAAAAGCACAGTTTGAATACAGGGATTAAACTACTGCCCAAGAGCCGTATCTGGTCTGCCCATTTTTTTTATTTGTAACTAATATTTAGTTGTTGTTATATTTTTAGATGGTTGAAAGAAGAAACAAAGGTAAATTATAGCTTGCCATCTGTGAAAATTATGTTAAATGTCAATTCAATGACCGTAGAAATGTATTTAAATATAGCCAATATCAGCTATTTATGTTAGCCTGTAGGCTCTAATGAGAAAGCTTAGCAGTTGCAACACAAGCCCTGTCTACTTGAAATACCTCAGAACTGTACAGAAGCTGTTTGCTGCCCCCTTGTTGGTGAAACAGTACTGCAGATGCCAAGTTACAACGGTAGGGATCAGGGATGAATGATAAAGAATTAAAGGAACCAGTGAAGAGCAGCCATTTTTATATTTGAGAAGGTTGCTGGAAAGGGATGCAGGATATTTTTTTTTTCTGTGTTCATTTGGAGCGGGTCAAGGTCAAGTCTTACTACATTTATTTATTTTGTGTATGCATGTGGATGTGCGCATACCCATGAAGAGCACAGGAATGGAGTCAGAGGATAATTCTTTAGAGTTGTTTCTCTCCTTCCACCATGATCCTGGGATTGACTCAGACTGTCAGCATTGGTAGCAAGTGACTTTGCCCACAGAGTCATCTCACTAGCCCCCAGAGAGCAAGCCAGGAAGGGAGGGAGGGGGAGGGGCAAGAGAGGGGAGAGGGGGAGATTCAATGGTAAGTAAGGGGCAAAGCCACTGTTCAACACAGACCAGGTTGATAACATTTATGGAGTGTCAAACTGGAAGTGAAATGTTTGAAATTGAAGAAAATGGGAAAGGAAATTGAACAGAAACACAGGCAGCAGGAATCTGAAGTGATAACAAGTTAAACTTGTCTGATTTTCTTCAGTGGCATTTGGCAGGATAATTGCTGGAGAGGAGAAATGATGCAGAGGCATCAGTTCAGGTTTGAGGTTTTCGTAAAGCAGCCACTGTAGGGGTAAAACATGAAGCGGGCTATGTTAAAGACAGTGGAGAGGGCTTGTGACCAGAGACAGCCATGGGTTTTTACCTTGACTTTCCTTCTAGGGCGGTGTGATGTCTTGAATCTGAAATGCCAGTACCCTGCACTCTTGCATGGAATGCTTATTCACCAGGTGGCATCACTGTCTTGGGAAGAAAGACCTCGCTGGCAGAAGTAGGTCACTTGGGACAGACCTTTGAGCATTGCACCTGTTCTTGGGTCCTATGCTGCTCTCCCTGCTCTGTGGTTCATCATGACGTGAACAGATTCTGCCACATGTTTGCTCCACCGTGTCTTCCCCACAATGGCAGGCTGACACCACTGAGACTGGTACTCCACGTAGGTGTCTCCTTCCTTATGTTGTTGCCTCTCTGAAATCTGCCACAGTGACCCCAAAGAACTAACACACATGGGTTACAGAACGTCACCTGGAAGATCATCAAGTTCTTAACAGGTGACTCTCCTCTGTGGACAGTTGGAGATGTCAAAAGAGAAAGATTAACATGAGAGGACAATGACATTCAGAGACTGGAGTTCTTTTATTTATTTTAAATTTTTTTTATTCATTTTTACATACCAAACATAGATCCAACTCTCATCCCTCCTCCCTCTTCCCCCACCCCCGCCTAACCCCCCCACTCCTCATCCCTCCTCCAAAAGGGTAAGTTCTCCTATGGGGGGGACAGCAAAGCCTGGTATATTCGGCTAAGGCAGGACCAAGCCCTTCTCCCCTGCTTCAAGGGTGAGCAAGGTGTCCGACCACAGGTAATGGGATCCAGAAAGTCAGCTCATGCACCAGGGATAGATCCTGATCACACTGCCAGGGGCCCCTCAGACAGACCCAGTTACACAACTGTCCCCTGTCTGCAGAGGGTCTAGTCCGGCCCCATGCAGATTTCACGGCTGTCGGTCTAAAGTTCGTGAGTTCCTAGGAGCTGCTTCATTTGTCTCTGCAGATCTCCCCATCATGAGCTTCACTCCAGTGAGTAGGGCAGTGAGAGTGAGAAAGAAAGAACAGGCCGCTGAGAGAAGAGAAGAGTTTGGAATTTATTGTTTTAAAGGTCATGTCTGGAGTTTTAGTCGGCCAGAGGATCCACAACAAAATACAAGAGGATGAAATGGTTTAAACAAGAAAATTGCTTCCTTGTAGTTTTACAGGCTGGATATCCAAGATTAAGCCTGGTTTCTCCTAGGCTTTTCCCCAGGCTTGTACGTGGTTGAATTCCTGTCTTCAGTTGGATTTCCTCTCTGTGTATACTTGGTGTCACTTCTTCATATCAGGACATCAGCCATACTGGATTTGGGATCCATCTTGGTGATTTTATTAACCACAGGTACCTTTTTCAAAACCCTATGTTCAAATACATCAGTTATGAGCTTCATTCAGCATATGAACTGGGGTGAGGGAAATACACAATTTAATTTATAACACATTAGCACAGTATAGACAGGAATGAATGGCTGAAGTAAAAAGTGGAGGATGCTTTTGGAGTTAAGACTAGCAATGTTTAGCATTTTACTTTAACAGTGTGCCCAGCTGCATAATGTACCATCATGAAGCCATTTGTCTCTATGTGTGCACATATACACTGAGACCCGAGAACCTTAGTATCATTCTTTAGATGCCATCTATTTCTTTTGAGATGGGGATCTTTCATTGGCCTGGAATTCGTTAATTAGGCTAGGCTAGCCGGCTAGTGAGCCCCAGGGATTTCCCTGTCTCCGCCTTACCAACACTGGAATTACAAGCATGCACCACCCTACCCAACACACTGTTATTGGTATCATCGTTGGCTTGCATGAATTCCAGGTATTGAACTCCGGTCCTCGTGCTTACAAGGTGAACATTTTACCAACTCAACTTCTTAGGCCTCTTAAGTTTCTTTTGCATGGTATATTGTCTCAACAACGAGAAAGCAACTAATGCAATAACCCAAACAACGTGCTTGTCCTTTTTGGCTTAGGTGGCTCATTGGAAGGTGAGACACTTGTTACAGATGAACTGGTCTCACTTTAAATTCTTATGTGTTCATGACCTCTGCTTTTTAAGACTACTAAAAATATCTAAGGGGTTGTCCCTAGAGGAGGTAGAGTCTCTAAATGCAAAAAATAGTCACCAAGGTTGCATTATGGGTGACATGAAACACAATAAATCCTCATGCTTTGGTAGCAATCTTAATACCATGCTTTGGTACCTGAGAGTGTCCGGCTATGCCAAAACATACAGTGATATTTCCAAAGGAGATTAATTACATTCAATTTAATTAATTCATATCAAAAGTGAGAAAGCAATTGCCCATATATCATGTTGAAAGTTTCCACAACACTATTACATCTTTCTACTAAGTCATCCCTGATTTTAATTGTTCAATGATTTGAAATAAACTGTGAAAGTATTGAGGAGAAATAAGAACTTCTTCTCCAAAGGCTGAGTTTTGAGCATCCCAGCAGTTGGTTTTTGAACAGCTTGTCATCTTCTTCAATTTCTCCAGCCATCTCTGCTCCATTTAGATTCAGACATCAACTCTTTTTAGAATCACGGAACACAGAAGGATATTAATTCCATACCAGGCATTATTCAAAATGAGGTTTCTTCCATTGAAACTGGAATTTGTTCTTTGAATTTAGCTCAGCATTCATGTTCTGGAGAGGAAGTCTTATCATTTTTTATTTTAGGGTGAATATTTCAAAGCAGGTATTCTTTATGGACCAAATTTCTAGTTTTCACCAGAAAGGATTGCCTGCCTCTCCAACAGGGACATAATGTTCCCATTGTGCCTTTGAGAAATAGCTAACTACATACGTATTCTATTTTTCAGGTGCAGATCCCAACTATCATATGAAAAGCAAGTGTCTTCAGAGGTTCAAATGTCAACACAGCAAGGAAGCACATAAAACTGAGATCAGTTCTTTCCTGGGGATTATCTCTCATTGATGACTAATGGACACTTTTTGGTCACTTAGAAATTAAGGTATTATGTGCACAGATGCGATCTGTTTATCTGTTGCAAGTACAGTCAGAGTTCATTCCCAATGCTCACTTCTTTTGTCAGGAAGGGATTTCTGACATTTATTTGAAAATGCAGTACTTTTTCTACTCATGACACATCAAGCAAACACCACATCCTCCCTCACACAGCATCCATCAAATAACAGTAGTCAAGAAAAGAGAAGAGAGGAGGGAAAGAGAGATACCTCCCACATACCCAGCAGTCTACTTAAACTAGGTGCACATTGCCTTCGACCGAATGGGCTGTTCTAAACAACCAGGAAGGGTGATGCTTTCCCAATTTCCACTAATAACTGAGGATAATTTATTTCTTAAAACTTTGTGGTTTAATAGAATATGTCCTGGTTTATTTATTGAGCATAAGAAATGGAGCTCTTACTATACATATTATGAATAATTACATTAAAAAATGCTTGACCTGGAAGAAAATATAGCATATAAATGATCTCAGAAATTACCTGAAGGCAGTATGCTTCAGTTTCTAATAACTCTTTATTTATTTATACCAAAACATCAATGAAAAAGTAGTCTATAATATGACTACTAATTAGGTGAATACAAATTAGACTTTTGACATTTAGAAACTTGCATAGCTATGATACTGTAATTACCAACCATGGGTAATATACTGGGTCCCATGAAAGCTGAAGCAACAGCACACAAATGTGTCCTTTCCTGTTAGAATCCTGTCTGATGCTATGCTTTGGGTTAATTTCAGTTACACATTGACTATAGGAGCTTTGACATTCATTTATATGATACTGTGACTAACAGAAGACTTATTTCTAGGTATAAAGTCCAAGTGTGGTTGCATATGGAGCCTTCATCAGACATTCCTATTCTAGCCCGTGTGATGTCCACCATGGCATGAGCTGTTTCTCTTGTTATTTTAGTTCTAAGGCTCTGGAGTAGTTGTGATGGTGCATGAAGTAAGATTATTGACTTCCTAGAATGAGTAAATTTATCCCAGATTGTATGAGATTCCAAGAATCTAAAACAATAAATATTGGAGAAAGATCATATATTGTAAAAATACTTATTAGAACTTGATAATCATAGAAAATTTATTATTATTGTATACAATACTATTTGCTCAGTAGAGTCAGAGTTATGTCAAAGCATGTTATGTAGGTTTAAAAAAGCAAGTCTTCCATGCCCTGTTATGGTTACTGATGTTTAACTTAGTAGGAAATAAGTGGAAGGATGACATGAAGTTCTTATTTCGCATGAGTTAGCGCTCTGAGTCTGTGGAACACATCAGAGTCATGAATTCTTTCAGCATGGGTGGGCACAGAGGAGATGTAGATTGCTCAGAGTGGAGGGAGGGGCAGGAATTTCTCACATCTATTATATAAAAGCTCTATGGTAACGCCTCTCCATTGAAACATACCCTCAAACCACTGTAGAGATTATGAAGCTCTATAGAAGCTCTAAGAAAAACAAATGCTGCCCTCTTCATTTTAGAATAATCCCAGAAGTGGTGGTTAGAAGAACACAGTTAAGTGGTTGAATGTACAGAATCTACTTCTTCTTCTTCTTCTTCTTCTTCTTCTTCTTCTTCTTCTTCTTCTTCTTCTTCTTCTTCTTCTTCTTCTTCTTCTTCTTCTTCTGGATCATGTTTCAGCTCATGACCTCCCAAAATATTTATATTAAGAGATGTATCTACTACTTTCCAAAAAAGCAAGTACAGTTATGGTGAGCATATATACATGCCAATGTGCTTGGCTCTGAAGGGGCCAGCCTGAAATACACAAGAATTCTCCATTCACTGTAACCTTACTTCCAGTGTAGATTTATCCCAGCCCTTATTTTTTTTGACATATCTGACACTCTGGAGATGCCTCAGACAACTCGGAGCCTTCTTTCTCCTGTGTTCCTCAGTAACTTGCTTCACTTAAGAAAATAACCCTCACTTCTAATCATCTGCTTTTCCTTCCATAATCTCACAGTTATCAGATAAAACATTTTTATAGCATTTGGTTTTAGTACTGGTGGTCTAAAACCCAAATACCTATTTATTATTGCATGATATTTTTGTTCCCTCAACTCTAGACAAATGCTATCAATATGTCTCTAGGTAAAATTTTATTACATTTATTTATTTACTATGTGTTACTTGCACATGATGAGGTCAGAAGACAACTTGTGGAAGTTGGTTCACTCCCTACACTGGCTAGGTCTTAGGGATCAAATCAGGTTGTCAGTCATCTTTCCTGCCCTCTGTCTTTCCTTAAGACCTGTCTCTATTAATTGATGATTTATTGGCTTGACACAGCTATTTATTGTTAATTGCTTATGAGACTCTAATATGGATGTTCTAGAAGAAAGGTAACTGCTCATTGATGTGTAAGTCTGATAAAGCTTGTCGTTACTTACTGACTAAGGTAATCATCAAGAGAATAGACTATAATTCAAGTCAGAATTAGATTAAGCCACGCGTTACAACAGGAATGACTGATAAAAACTTCTTCAAATGAGCAAATCACATAATGTATTAATTAAAAAAAATCACCAGTGGTTTTCACTCTCCTTAGCTATTCAAATGCTTAAACATTCCAACAACATACTTGTTAGCGGCTGGTCCTCACCATCTCTCAACATTCCTCATAATATTATGAAACCACATCCTCCAGCAAGTATTCATTACCCAGATCCCAGCTACACTGCTTACTTCCAGGTTTCAGTCCCAAATGTTAAGTTAGAATAACTGTTTTAATCATTGGATTGAAAATACATTTTTTATCAAGTGCAGGTATGTGATCTGTTTCTCCATTAAATTCACAGTTCCCCAGGGAGAGATGAAGTCTACACTTCTTTGAATTCTCTATAGTATTTTTTTTTTTTTTTTTTTTTTTTTTGGTTTTTCGAGACAGGGTTTCTCTGTGTAGCTTTGCGCCTTTCCTGGAACTCGCTTTGGAGACCAGGCTGGCCTCGAACTCACAGAGATCCGCCTGGCTCTGCCTCCCAAGTGCTGGGATTAAAGGCGTGCGCCACCACCGCCCGGCTTCTCTATAGTATTTTATGTAGGCTAATCTTCCAGTAACTATTTGTTGGTTAATTTATGTAGTGTCAGAGATCAGAGAATGAATCAATAGCTTGATGAACAACCACCAAAGAGATGACTGAACACAAAATTACCATCCCTAAAATATACAAAAACAAAAACCTCCCCTCTATGCTCAATCACCATACAGCTTTCAAAAATGTTTTCCTGTTCTTCCACATTCCCAGTATTACTAGTTTTGTAGATCCTCATCTTTGCAAATGTAAACATTAGCTTACTTCTTAACTTTCTCTTTTGGAGGATTTTCATTCTTGTATCAATACTACATTGTTTTTATTACCATAGCTTCATTGGAAAATGCATAAATTCTCCTGCATTTGCTTTTCTTCTGTAAGAACATTTGAGCTATTCTTCATAATTTAGGAAATGTTTTTAAATTTTGATAAAATATATTTTCTGATTTCTTGGGGGGAAGTTTACACTGAAATTTTTAATCAATTTGGAGATAATTGTTGGTGAGTCTTGCAAAACAAGAACATGGTGTATACTTCTATCTGGCTATAATTTAATTTCTCTTAAATATTTTGTAATATTTGTGTAAATATATTACTTTTAAAATTATATTTATCAAGCCAGGCAGTGGTGGCTCACGCCTTTAATCTCAGCACTTGGGAGGCAGAGGCAGGTGGATCTCTGTGAGTTCAAGGCCAGCCTGGTCTACAGAGCAAGATTCAGGAAAGGCGCAAAGCTACACAGAGAAACCCTGTCTCGAAAAAACCAATATATATATATATATATATATATATATATATATATATATATATATATCCGTATTTTGTTTCTTGTTGCTATTATAAATTTATCATTTCTTAAGTTTATTCTCTACATATTTGTTGATGCTATTTTACAAATATTTTATTTATATTCTCATCTATATTTAAAATAACTTCAAAAGTTTGATGCTATGATAGTCTTCATTTTATTCAGGAGAAAACTAAGGCAGAGAGGATTGAACTATCTTGTACATCACCACATAGTCAGGGCCAGAATCATGATTACCCAACAAGTCTGAGCCCACAGGGTCTATTATTCTACAGTGTAGCTATGGAATTGGAGGTACACTTTGAAGAAGTTGATCCTGAATGTATTTGTCACATACTCAATTATATTACTGTTGATTATACTATACCAATCTTGGTAAAGAAATTTAGGCCCAGGAAAGATGAGAAATCATACAAAACCCCAGAATTCATAAATGTCAGGATAGTAGCTAGAACTCAAGATTTTATGAGTTCAGCATGATATGCTACATATAAAAATACTAGTGTTTGAAAAAATGGTAAAAATTATCTTTTGCTGCAATGGCGTATACAATATGCCCAGTATGTACAGCTTCCTGTTTATAGCATGATCCCCTGACATAAGAAATTATGAGATAAAGGAGATAAAGCTTTTGAGTTATATATACACACAGACACATACATGAACACACATGTACACACACAGACATGCACACACACAAACATTTACACAATACATATTCCTATATACACATACACACTCACATATATAATCTTTTACTGAATCTGTATGTTGTTAGGAAAAAAGTACTTCAGTTTGTAGAGTGATCTCTCTTTATAGTTTTGAGAACTAATTATATCTTTAAAGATTTATTCTGTTTTTTATGACCCATCCTTCTGGTCATTGTATTTGCCTGATGTTTCTACTATGCATTATTAACTTAGTTTTCAGTCTGGATAATTATTTACTCTCTATTTTCCAGTGTAGGAGTTTTCCTTTCAACAGTGTCTACTTATGTAAAATATATCTGCTTAAGTTTATTTTTTTATTCGAGTGTTGGAAGGCTGACATTGGAGACTGGTTTATTAGAATTTCAGAATAGGAATATTGGTCTTTGACAGCACCAGTAGTCTACAAGAGGGCAAATCATTTCAAAT